ATTGTGTTACCATTATCAATAGGACAAATGTTTTTCTTTAGTAAAATACTTGAGATGAGAAATATACCTCTCATCTACAGGCTGATGTCTGTATTTCTCTTCTGGGAACTAATTTAAACACTTTATGAGAGATTGACATTTTCAGTGCCTTAAACATCCTTAAAAGCTGCTTTGTTCATTGCAAACCATATTTAGTATGACCTCATAATAATGTAGCACACCTCAAGTGTCATGCCTGTCTTTACTATGCACTTTGGAGCTGTGTTCATCTATATCAGACAGCTGCACTTCAAGGAAAGGGTGTTTTTTTTTCCTTGATAGGCTATTAGCAATAATTAGGAAGATTCACTTCAGTAGGATGTCAACACCAGATTGTTTAAAAAAGTTGAATGTCAGTGACTTTAAAAGAGAGTTCTTTTCCCTGACACATAGGTATGGCATGTGAAACATGAAATGTTAATTTAACTTTTCCGCTTATTATTCATGCACAATATTATTTTGTCATTCAGATAGTACACTGACTGAGTGCAAAGGGTGTTAAAATAGTGCTACTAGAATAAAAAGAGGATTAATCTACCATTGGCCAATTAGCCAAAGGGTACTTAATGGTCTCTAAAGGCTACTGAAGTCTAACAACTAGCTAAAGCACTGGCAAAAAGTCCTCTATATTACCTTCATTTATTTGACATTTTGTGACATAGTCGGCTGCTGATAACTGTGTTTTACTGAAAAAAAATTACAACTAAGTGGTTTGGTAGATTTTACTAAAATTTCAGAAGAGTAGATGACAAATAAGTTCTACATTTTAGAAGTTTGTCTTGCTTGAGGGATATCTTTGTTTCAGTTTAGGGTTAGGATATTAAATCACCAAAGACTTCGGTTGGATATTTTGTCTTCATGTCTAGAATACTAAGTAATCAACCACTTACAGCACTTGCATGAGAAGAACTTTGATTGAGGATTTGGACTTATTTGCCTTTTCTCTATATGATCACATTAAGTATGCAGCACAGTTAGCCTTTTAGTCTGGTATATATCTTTTCATATTTTCAGCTACATACCATCTTTACTAATTTTAACTTTTTTTTTTCTTCAGGCAGAGGAAAGTTTTGATTCAAGAGAACAAAAAAAAGACCAAGTTTAATGGGGTTGACACAATAAATTTGTCTTGGATATTGTAAATATGTTTATCATTATGTTATAGTAACATTTAATAGAGTGGGTAAAGTCATAAACACCTAACTCTGTGCTTCCAAGTATGATTTGAAAAGTTCTTTCTTGTTTTATGTGTACAACAAGTACTTCTTATTTTGTTGTTTTTCATGATCAAGCTAAAACTGTGAGAAAACAGAGTTCTCTGTAAACCTTTCATAGAAAGTGTTAAATTTTAATATAGAACCTGGTATAGGATCTATGCATATAGCAAATGTATTTTATTGCCTACTGTAGCAAGAGGTCTTAGAGAAAAGGAGTGTGTTAATCTCAGTTTTCTTACAGTTGTTGCAAGTTTTCATGTGCCAGGATTTTAGGATGGGAAGCTTCATAGCAAATAGGATTTTTACACATCTGAGTATATTAGCTATATTTGGATTACAAAATTGGTAGTAAAGTAAGGTTGTGTCATTGCTTAAAAAGGGTTTCAAGAATACCTGATTTACATCCTGTTTTATAATTTTGCCCAGAAATATTTTCTATATAATATATTTTGCAAATATAAATGCATGGGATTGTGTTACAACAGTGGTAGTGCGGTATCAGCCACTACTAACAGAAATGTTATTTTCATACATGCCAGTTGCAGTAGGAGGGCAACTGCTGTAAACTGAGCTCAGAGCCCCTCACAGGGTGGTTGTGATGCCAAGGAGCAATAGGCCATTCCAATGGATGTTAATCCATTTGGCCTTCCACATAGCTGTCTTTCTGAGAGAGCATTTATGGTAAAAAGCCTTGCTGAGTCAGTGGAAGTGTTACACTGAGTACATAGAAACTGAGATTTCATCACTTATTCCTTTGTGAACAGCAGAACAGAGTGTCATGGGTATACCAGGAGCAAGGAGATTAAGATAGATGGATGTTAAAATATTGAACCTATAAACATCTGTTAAGCCAAAATACTCTGAAGGAGATGCAGCAGACAAAGGCCTCTACAATGTAGAGGAACAGCAGTAGCCTGCCTTTATCAACATCTGGTCTAGCTGGTGTTTAAGATTCTGCCTTTCATCCTGGTGACCTCTTCCCCTGGAGTAAATTCTTTTTACTCTGTCACTCAGGATTTGCCTGCATGGTAGCACACACACAAAACTTCCACTATGTCTAAAAAAGAAAAAATAACAAAAGGCTTGACCTAAAATGTAGCAAGTGGTGAGGAACAGCAGGGTAATGAACTTGCTTCTTAAGTGAGTAAATGCAAGGAATATCTTTTAGGCATAAATATTTTGCTAGGGCATGGGGGCTGTTTTCACATTGCACATAGATTGGTATAGGGTTTTCACATAGCCGTTCAATATATTGTGAATAGAAGAGTAATGGAATAGAATTATCAATGCTGTAGCACATTTACATTGTCAACAGAAGTATTAAGAGACAACCTTTTTGATATCTCTGATTGCAATTGCATGTTTATCTGCTTTTGCAAGCTGAGGGTGTTTGCCTTGTACATATGTTACTTTCACTTCACCCCTGTCATTCTGATACTGTTTCTGAATTTATGTAGATTCTTATTTTAAATTCTTTTTTTTTCTACCTCCGTAAATAAATTCTGCAATCAGCTGTCCTCTTTAGCACTTGTCCCATGAAGGCCTTATCTTTTTTCAATATATTTGCTATAATTTTTGAGAATGTGGCCAAGTGCAATCAGGACATTTTAGAACTGATGCATATTGGCAGCAGCAGTAGCCTAAGAAACTTCTGAGAGTCACAAGCTCTCTTGGGCAGATATGGGGGCATTTCTACTTTTAAACAGAGATATTGATCTAGCTATGTTTTTTTCTTCTTGCTTTTCTTTTTATGAATAATTTATTATAGAGACACTGAATCATGAAATTCTGCATGTAGAAATATTGGTTATACTTGACAAATTAGCATAATCCTTATATTTTTCTATACTATGTCTTTCTGTACTACTACTGGTTGTGCTTATTGAAGTAGCCTTCATTTTGTCTTTTAATATGAGAATGTATTAATTATGGGAATAGTATATCGTATTAAGGAATAGTCAATTCAGAAATACATTAACACTATTTATTTATTTTTCAATAATGACAGCAGACTTAGAAGGGAATGGCAGGATTAACCCCTTTACTAAGAACAATGCTTACCTCAGATACATATGTAAAATGCCCATTGACTTTAATAAGTTTGCTTAATGAATGCAGAAGAAATACTGTTAAAGAGTTTTAACTTTAAATACAGGATGCAGTTTCTCATACCTATGGTATTTTTTTTAAGCTAATGCAAAATCTACAAGCATTCTCTTGTCATTCTTAATAGGAATAAATATGACTATAAGTAGTTTTTCTTTTATTTGGGTATATGTGATCTTCAGATTATCAGCATTATCAGGGAGTATATGCGTATATAAATACATATACATGAAAAGCTTTTTTCTAATACCATTAAACAATATAAAATCTAATTTTTTAGTTAAATAGTAAGCTACTTGGAAAGAGAATACTATCTTTAACTTTCTTTCACCCTTTTTTTTTTTTTGTACCAGCGTATAATCAAACACACACTTAGTCATTTCAGGCTGTCATATCTTCTCTGATTTCTGATCAGAATTCTTCACAACAGAAGGGTTTTCATTTTGTACAATTGTTCCTTATGTTAAATTACTGTATTACAGTCTTCCTTGGAATAATAAGATAGTACTATAGTTGCCCTTTTAAGGAGCAGAGAGTTGTTGGGCCACTGTTGGCTTCCAGCTGACTACAGTTTTGTGAAATCTAACCACTAGCATGGAGATTATTTCAGTTCCCTTTTTGCAGAACAACATTCAACATTATTTAAATTAAACAATTACTTAAAACATTATCTCTATAAGGAGTTCCATGAAATATATTGGTACAAAGATTGAATAAATCTTGTTGGTTGTCAATCAAGTGCAACAAGACTGAGAGTTTGTTTTCATGATATTTATTTGAACTAAATCCCTAACAAGGCTTGTCTGCTAATTGGACTTAGCATTTATGTTGCTAAATGAGAAGAATTTTGGCTGCAGTATAGGGTGGTAAGACCTACCCAGTGGAATAAACAACTAACATCTGTTATCCTGTCCTGCTCCAGCTTGTCTTTTAGCACTTAAGTACTTCAGCCCTAGAGTCAAGGTTATGGAATATGTGGTTCTCTGGCTATGGTGCATGTATGTTAAAGGGATGAAATAACACACGAGTAAAGACCAGCCAACCAAAAGATATTTAGTGCAGCTGGTACACTTTGCTTTAACCTCTGCAAGCCCTACAAATATCAAAACAAAAGCCAAGAGAAGGGGGTATATTTTATAGCAGTTGTCAACACAGCAATTCAGGTGAGCTTACAGTGGTCACCATTAAAACAGATTTGACATTTAACCACCTTTAATATGCACTGGTGTCTGAGACAACTTGGTATTTCTTCATGTTCTGTGTAGAAATAATTGCTGAATCCCAGAGAGCCTCTAGGTAAACAGATTTCACCAGTAACCGCTGTTACAGGTTTTTTATGATGATTTTTGCTTGTCATGGTAAAACCAGTAAATGCATTCAGTCAAAATTGAATTATTTTTCCTTTTAAAAAAATTGCTTATTTTTAGTGTTAGTTGACTTCTTTTTCCTGCTGAGTTTGATCTTTGCCTGTACTAGAGAATTCAACCAACAGTTATGCAATATAATTACAGATAATATATATATAATATATATACTATTTCATTCCTTTTGAATTTTGAACTGGAGAAGCATCTCATATGATCAAGCAGAAATATTTTTAGGATGCAACTGTGATTGTTTTTTCTGTTTGTAAAACAAATGTTGACCTCCAACCTGGCCAAGTGGCAACAGGAGAAGGAAGATTTACAAGGAAAATTGAAGTTGAGAGAACACCTGTCTCAAACTGCTGGCAAAAGTAAAGCCACACCAGCTCCTTCAAAGAATATTGATTTAGAGATGAAACAGCTGCAGTGCAAACTAAAGGTGACAGAACAGATTATCTAGCACTGAGGATAATTTGTATGAACAGTAGTTCATAACTGGGTCAAGCAGACATACTTATACTCACATGTGCCTATCATTTATATATCTTAGCCAGTGATTAGCAACTTAGGTGTTAGATTGCCTTTGATGGTAAGTAGAAATGTACTCATAAGCAGGAGAACTAAAAGTTACAATTAAAATAATTTTTGCAGATCAAATAGGCAAGACAGGGCGTCTTGGTGGGTTTTCACACAATGATTAAATACATCTGGTTGTAAGGTGCTGTGGAATTAGTTCAGTGAGTATTGTGTTGATTCCTTTCTTCCTTTAACAAAGAGAAAACCAATAGCTATCTGTGAAAGGGGAGCAAAGAATTTGAGCTGATGGGGCAGCTTATGTTACAGTGTTACGCTACCTATACGTCACTGTTGGTTTTGTCTTCAAAGAAACACTTATTGTTTTAAATTTGTATTTTTGTAGATTAGCTGGTAGGAAAATACTAATTTATTCATTATGTCATTTTTCAGTCTCCAGTGATTCTGTTACATGCGAATGGTGTAGATACTGGACTGTGTTTTTCTGAAAGCTTTCTCAGCAGGTAGCCTGGCTCAAACATATTAATTCTTTTCCTCTTCTCACTGGAGGAAATATATGTGCAACAGAACATCCTAAAGTTGTTTTTTCCTATCACTTTCTGTTAAATAGTAGAGGAAAGAGAAAAGGTCAAAATAGTACAGTTTCTTGCTGCTAGAAGAAAGGGGAGGGTAACAAAACATCTGCCGAGGGATCAGGTAGAAAAAAAGGCCATGTTACATGGGCGACATCGCTGGCCCTAAATACTGGATTAGCTGTGCTAATGCACAAATGTTGGTAATGCTCAGACCTCTTAGCTCTTGATGGCAATCATGGTATTACAGATCTTGGCTATACCACAGTGGATGCCTAACATCTAAATTCAGGGATTAGTAAAGGTAGGTCACATTGATAAAGAGATGAGGCCAGCAGAGAGTAGCCATGCAAAGGCATATAAATTGACCTATTTTAATTATGAGAAAAAGATCTTGAAACCATACACACTGACTTCTTGACTATTGTTTTTACATTTAAGATTGACTAATCTGCTTCTGTTGCTGGTGAGTGGTGATTTCTGTTAATTAGGGTTGTACCTTTCAGATGAGTATCTTCATTATCCAGCAACCTAATAGTCAATTGCTCTATGCAAGTAAGAAAAATAAAAAAAGGGGATTTATTTTTTTAAAACAGTTTGAGAGTAACATCCAATAGAAGCCTACTTTATTTTTCTGCTACATTTGAACAGCAAAATAAATAGCTGAAAAATACAAGGCTTTTTTGTTTCTGTAGGAAAGGAAACATTTAGCAAGCATCAATAAATCTGATGTCAAAATACTAGCATGGCTTTTAATTCCTTTTTCAAAATATATTACATCCATACATTCACTTAAGAGTTGGACTTGGTGATCCCTGTGGGTCCTTTCCAACTCAGACTATTACACGATTCTGTGATTTTTGATGAAACAATATACCATATATGCAAAACGGTATTTAGGGTGAAAATAGTCTGTGACCCCAAATGCTGAGTAATAGAGTAAATTCGCTGCTTTCTGAATTGGATGGGAGTTTTGACTGTAAGGGCCTCAAGAGCTGCTTAAATCAAGTTTCTAAAATTCCTAACTTTATTTAAGGCTAATTTAAGTTCTACAAGTCATTTTTTAGAGAAGAATTTGGCAAAAGTTGTTTGTCTGGAACAAAACTATTGTTCCAGACTATCTATCTTACTTAAAAACGAGATGCAAAGTTATTCTCCGAAATATCTGAATGTGTAAGCAGCAAAAGCTTTCCTTATGGCTCAAAATCTCAAAGTACCTGGTTTTGTTGTTTAGGTTTTTTTTCCTCAGAGCTATCTTTGCAGTGTTTGTTTATGTTGTATGTAATGGCTCCTGGTATCTTTGCCAATAGAAAGAAATGTTTTAAGTGTGGGTGGTGAGTTTGAAAGCGAAATACCACAGTCATATGTCTCTGCCATTGAGCATGTGCAGAGGCTCACCTAAGTGTTCAAGTTCACATCTTGTGTGTAACTGTATAACAGGGTGCTGTGCTCTACATTAATGAAGCTCAACCTCCACAAACAGGTCTCAGGAAATTCAGGAATATTCTGCTAGCATACATCATTTTAACAATTATCTGGTTATACCTCACATTATAATAATACTAAATAGACTAGACAAGTTATTAAGAACAGTATTTTACATCTAACAATGCACACAAGAACATATACTCCCCTTGAGAGGCACAGAGTTATGTACAATACTCCCATTAATGTTAATAGACATTACAAGTCTGCACTGAGCAGAGAAATTCTCCTGAAGTTTCTTTGTTTACAGCGTGTCTGATCTGTGTGATTATCGTTTATACATAGTGAATAAAAAGCTGTTGTACAGCTTCTGAACCTGTATGCATAGATGCACACATCTATGTTGTGCTTATGCTTAACGTGTATGTATCTTTTGGCAACACCTTTTGGAGTTCTGAAATCTCTCTATGCGTTGTGTTTGATGTACCATTTTCAGCAACAGCATTCAATGCAAATACTCAGATTGCTAAGATGACTACTTAGTTAAGTTTCATATTTTTATTTCTGTACACTGATTCTTTTATTCTGTATTTAAATCTTGGGTAGATGATATGTGTGTTTGCATGGAGCAATTGAGGCACTTTTTTTTCTTATTACTGTATGCAATGAGGAATGGCCAACAACTGTATAATTCTCCTTCACTGGAATTACATATGCCTGAATATTAGGATCAGCTTGTAACTGAAATGTAGAATTTGTGTTAGTACAGGCAAATGGAAATATCTCTGTCTTGTGCTTTGAATTTCAAGTGACAAAAAAACAACCACTCTTGTAGATTGTCTTGGATTTCTAAAAGCACAAGAAAGGAATTATTGGACATTCTTGCTATGTAGATGTAGGCCCCTTGTGCTGTAGAACTATACCATTCAAAGATGTAGTTCAAATAAAGATCCAGTTTTCTTTTCTGTTAACCTTTTCATCTGACTATGTCATGCAAGAGAAAATACAGTCCTTATAGGTGCACTGGGCTTGCAGGTGCCTGGGGAACATACATTAATCATACATGATTAGAACAATGGAAAAGTACTGATTTTTATCATATTTTCCAAGGAATGTGCTTCTACTTAAGTGTTTCTAGGAAGTAATAATGCTCCTTTCGCACCAGTTAATTTCTAAGAACTTTCATAAAATACATGGAAGTTTTCTCAGCTCATTGTTTCAAAATTTCCTGTTGACTGCGATCATATTCAGTCTGCTTTATTTATATTTTAATATTTTTCAATACAGAAATCGATTAATGAAATCACTAAGCAATCGACCACCATTAAGTCCCTAAAACATGAAGTCCAGGAAAAAGAAGAACGGATTCGAGAACTACAAGCGAAGTACGGTCACTCTTCTATCCATTGTGTTTGGTGCCACCCAGTGACAGCTGTAAAATTGCTACAATGTTTAGCATTCTTAGATTTTTAAGAGACTGTTGTATTCTTTTTATTGCAGTCTTGCAGACTGGTACAGGGGTTTTTTTAGAAACTGCAGCAGTACATGCTAGAGTTGTAAACTGATAAGTGACTAACTAACTACAGTATCTGTATTGCAGTAAGAATACCTTAAATCAAAACTCAGACTCTAGAGTAGACTTTTTATCCTTGATGTAAGTCAAAATGAATTCCTCAGCACTGTTAAACACAGTCTCTCAAATTCAGTAATTCTTTGCCTAGGGGCTAAGAGACATGTCAAGGTTCCAATGCTTAAATAAGATTAAATAGCTACTGTTATCTTCATTAAAAAGGTTCAAAAAGACAGTTGTATTTGTTTCTATTTGAAATAATTAAGGTTTACTCCTCATTTTTAAATTCACAAATTGTCGAGTATGCAACTGAGATTTTTATTCTACCTACCTTAACTGATATAAATCTGTTATTCAATTATATTACTATAAAAAGTATAAAAAAGCTATTTATGTGAAATTTTTGTCTGTTCAGGATTTAAGTCCTCTAACAATTCTAATTTTTATAATTGAAGAAAGAATGCAGTTTACTTATCTGAAATTAGTTCATGTGAAAAACAGGCAGCGCTTAAAATGGTTATATTGTGAGCATTGTTTATTTTCTGTTTCAAAATGAAACTGAATTTTTCCACCATAAGATTTAAAATTTAAAATACTTATTGGATGTCATGGTTTCTTTAAAAAACAGATACTGTTTTTTCATAAGCTGTAATATATAGTCAGCAAAATAACATTATTAGTATTAGGGTGAAACAGATTGGAGGAAACTTTAGGTGCACTATTTTCCTGGGGTTTTTTTTTAATATGGTATTGACATTGTATTAACTATGTTGTATTCCTGAACATATTGCCGTCAATCATTTTGCTTTCATTAGAAAAAAAATTCAGATGTCTGAACATTTTCAAGTATTGCTTATATTTATATTTAAAATATTAATTTGTATCATGATAGTGGAAGTACTGTATAAGGCATAATTTTCTCGTTGAACAGATTAGTTTGTGGTACGTGAGAGTTTCTTTTTTATTTATTAGAGAATTTTCTGACAAATGCTGTTGTTATTTCTAGGTTTTGCAGTTTATCTCATCTGACATATAAGGATAGAGATTTTTCATCTATTTCTGTGTATTAGTTGGATGAAAGGAGAGTTTCCAATTTCATTTTCTTTTGAAAATAATTTTATACAAAATAGTGTCTGAATGATTGCTTGAGATATCAAAGGAATTTAATTATTAAGTTTTGCATGCTCAGCAGGTTTCTTTTGCCTTTTATGATAATAGTTTAAGAATTACTGTGATTTCAGTTCAGCAAGCAAAAAGCAAATCACAAATATATTGCATATTTAGAAATAGGTCTGTTTAATAAGAGTTTGAAACTGGGTTTAGTAGTTGAGAATGGGGGAAATTGCAAGAATTGCATCAGCTATTGTTTGAAAAAGTATTTTAAAGCTACAGGAATAATAATTTGTCTACTGCATTAGTTGCATATTAAGAAAATTTTCTGAGTGTCATGAGACTGACTTCTTCCCATGTAGAATTTCTCGATTGGAGAGGGACCTTAATGCGAAAAGACATTTGATGGAAGACCTAAAGTCTCATCTGAAAGCAAGTCAAGAAAACGAGAAAACCTCAAATGAAGCATTGGAAAGTCTTGAGAGAAAGATACTTCTTTCTTGCAATTCCTAGTTTTAGGAAAAACGGAAGCTGGTGGATTTACAGAAGTTATTTCAACACACTATACATATTAAATCAATATATTGCTTTAAGCAAACAAGATATAATTAATTATAAGTGTGTAATTCCCTCCACTATAATTTGTATGAAATCAGTATATGGTGATAGCTTGAATGAATTCAGCATAATTTACTGTATCTTCATTAGAGGTGTAATTAAATATTAAAGTATTCAGAACACACAGTTGCAAGAATATGCTGTAAGTAGTGGGATTTAGTTTTATGCACTGTAAGTTCATAAAATATAGGACTGAAACAAGGGTGATTTTACATGACATATGCTAATGAAGTCCATGCATCTCTCCTGGCTATAGTAGTTAAATGCTTTAATATGTTAATCTGTTTTCTACTGCAGTGTTATGAATGATTCACAGTTCTTAGCTTACTGTAATTGTATCTGTGTAGGTAATGCTTGACTTCTATAGCAAATTATTTTATCCTGCACAATTTTAGGATGATTTCACTGAAGATAGGAGAACTTGTATATGGTTTGGCATATTTCTATATTATCCAGCTGATATATTGGACTTCAGTCTTTAATGCCAGAAAAGATTATGATGTTTGTTTGTCTGTGAGGTTATACCTCTTGCAACCCCAAAATAGAAATAAACAATTTACTAATTTGCTTTTGTTAACCTAGAATGGGTGTGCTTGCTGAATATCACAAACACTATCTCTGCTTGCAGTCATATAGCACTTTCAGCTCTAAAGAGAGCTACTATCTTACCTGACATGCCAAAGATAAGGTGTTATTAGGAAAACCACAGCCAGAAAGTGAGAGCATAAGTAAGCAAGCAAACTATAGTATGACATGAGAGAAATACGTGGTTTTGGTTTTAGGTAAAAGATTTGGAATGGAATGATGTGCTTTAATGCTCTCCTTTGAGTATTTTAAGCACTGCATTTCCAGAGAGTCAAATCCCATACTTTATTTTGATTATTCCAGGTGGAAAATCAGCTTGATAAATTTTACATTATCTTCAGCAAAGGATCAAAGAAATTCCCTGTTACTCGATATTGTCAGGAAAACTTTGTGATTAATACTATCAAGAGTGCTGAATGATCTATTAATACTATCAGGAGCACTGGTCTTTTTCATTTTACCCCAAATCAGTGTTTGCATTAGATAATAATTATCTAGGAAGCTTTACAGACTATTAACATGTAGACAGTTGTTTTTTTGGTTGAATTTGAATTTATGTTTTTACCTCTAACAGAAGAAATGAGTAGGAGTTGTGGATGGCTCCCTTTTGCAAGTACTGTAACTCTAAAATATATATAAACAAACAGTTCTGCAGATGAAGAGCTCTTCTTTATATTTAATACAAGTCAAAACTTATGTTAAAAGGTTGTGTGCAAACTGGTCTCTACTAGATCAGCAGTAGAGATTTATTAAATACTGTAATTTCCGAAAAAAAGTATTTCAATAAAATTATATAGCAAAAGTATGTTAATGTAATATAGGTAGGCTTAGTTTTGATTTTATTTTAATTTTTTAGTTATACATCTTGATAGTCAATGCTCTTGGCCTTTCATTATTTCAGGTAAAGGCACTGGCTGAAGACTGTTCAGGCAAAAAAGCTTCCATTGACTCACTGAAACAAAGACTTAAAGTAGCTACGAAAGAGAAGTCTCAGTATGAGCAGATGTATCACAAGGCTAAAGATGAGTTGGAGAAAAAGGTGTAATTAGAGTTGTGATGGCTGCACTGTGGAACTTTTTCATACCTTTCTTTCAAATGAAAAGTTGCAAGGTCATCAGCTTAGACTTTTTAAATACAGAAAGGGAGAAAAGAGCAGATTAATAGTAACCTTTTTCTCTCATCTGATTCAGTCACATCTCTAAAATTTAGATACTGAAACATGGACATAATGACTGAAAATGAGATTACTTTTTGCCATGAAATTACATTTTACGTGTTGCAAGTGGAATATTCTGTGATGTTAATCATGGTGTGGGAGGTTGGTTTGTTCATACATTTGTGATCTACCATAACTCCTTATCAGCTTTTATCATAGCATTGTTGTGTCTCTGCGGATGTATTTCAGGACTTCAAGCTTACCAAACTAGAGAGCAAAATAATTGAGACTGAATGTGCTATGACTGAACTTGAGACTGCTGCATCTGATCAACTACATAGCTTGGCTAAACAGAGTGCAGAGGCTTTGGAAGCAGTACAGAAGAAGTTGCTGCTCACCAGCGACAAAGTAGAAGAATTCAAGACATTTGTAAAGGTTTGAATTTTGATTTTCTTTGAGTGTTCACCTAAATAAAGGTAATTTTGATTAAAAGAAAAATGTAAAAGATTAACCAAGGGCTGATCTTTGGTGCATTCCGTTTTCTGGAACAATCATCGTAGTTCCTGCAGTGGTCTGGTATCAGGTCTGAATTGGTCTAAATAAGGAGAAAGAATCAGGGTCTCTCTCCCAGACTTACAAAGACTTCAATAATTTTTGTCTTTCTATATATGGCTGCCATTTACTTGTTCCCAAGAAAAAGTACTTAGTTTTATATCAGACTACTCTGCAGCAAAAAAATTCCCAACACATTTAATATAATAATTCATATCTGTTGATCGGTGTGAAGTACATAATTTTCCATATGCACATACTTTTTATTTTAGAAATATTGAATAAGGAAGCCTCTATATTGCAAAACTGAAAGCAGTTTTAGTAACAGTATATAGAATATTATTTCCTTATTTTGGCTACATACTTAACAAACTGCTATAGTGCATCATGCAACAATACTGTCTTGGTGGTATCAGACAGATCACTTCGTCATACTAAATCAGTGAAAAGTTTCACTGAACACACTAATATGTGTTTTATAATTTAATATTTGAAATGTAAATATTATTTATTTTTCTGAAATATTCACCACATAATTAAGAAATATAAAGCCTATTCAGTATGTATCTATCTTGAATACATAGCATCTGAGGGAATGGCCTGAAGTTGTGTCAGGTGAAGTTTAGGTTAGATATAAGGAAAAGGTTTTTCACCCAGAGGGTGGTTGGACACTGGAACAGGCTCCCCAGGGAAGTAGTCACAGCACCAAGCCTGACAGAGTTCAAGAAGTGTTTGGACAAAACTCTGAGGTACATGCTGTGATTCTTGGGGCTGGTCCTATGCAGGGCCAGGAGTTGGACTCGATGATCGTTGTTGATCAATGCCAACTCAGGATATTTTATGATTCTGTGATTTTATGAATTTAGCATGTATCTACTAGATCCCTATTTTCAAACAAGACTATAACTTATTAACCCATGAAATAGATCCAGTTTTCTACTTTTCTTGGATCTCTGTAGAGGTGAGCTCCTTTCAGATATGTTTGGGCAAGTGTGGTAGCATCCAAAGTAAAGAGCAATGGTATTTTGATGCACTACATATAAAAAGAAGGCATATATAGTTATCTCTTCAAGAATAACTTTCAACTGTGGATTGAAATTTAGTAACTTAAATACTTGTGCATTATATCTTCTTTCTATTGTCATCTGATAAGAAGTCACTCTACATGGCAGTTCTCAGACCTTTAGTGTTTGCCTGTTTTGCCAAGTTTGTAAAACATTTAAAAAAAGGGAAAGTAAAAGGTATTCTGTTCTCAAAAGTAACTGTAATGAGCAAAATCACCCATTAGCAAGTATTATGATAACTTCATTCATTGTTGAATGACAGCTGCAGTGTTAGTTGCCATGAATATTCATTAGCACTTACACAGTTGTACTGCATGTGAAAAGAATGTTAATATGTAATTTCTCTCTAAATAATAATAATAATAATAATAGTATTTAGCTAATGAAGCTAAATACCTACTTTCTTGCCCGGATAAAAAGAATATGCATGCATATTTCAAGTAAGATTTTTGCTGAGTACTGTTCCTCTGCAGAAAGATTTTTTTGAAAATTAAGATGCTGTCTATAAGTCAAATGTTGATGAATAAGGAGTTCCTAAGTAGACTAATTTGTTTAGTTAGGTGCTAAAATCAGATTCTATTCATGGTGTACCACTGTAAAAAAATGTCGTTGAAAATCCTTGGCGATTCAGTGGAATTGCACAGTATATCAAGTAAATCCTGTTAAAATACATCTTGTGTATCTGATGTTATAACCTGTGTGGCAAGATCCAGGTATTGTGATAATACTTACTGTGATAAGTAGCAGTACTCCTTCTTGCACCAGCTCTTCCTTTGAAGTCTGATCTGTATCATTTCTACTCTCTTCTTCCAGGTAACTGTCAGTTTTCCCCTGACCTTGGTTCTCCAGTTTCAGTAACTCGAGTAATATTTTCTGTATAGAGATCAAGTTTAACCTTTATCTTGCTTAAACAGGTTAACATATTTGTCTTCTATTCTGATCGCTTCGTAAGCCTTTCTTGTTTTGAGAGTGCAATTGTAATCTTCTCATTCATAAATTGAATGCAGTTGCTTTGTCTACCTATTCCATGTCTGTTGTGACATTACATAGTTCTTTTTTTAACATAAAACAATTAAATTATTTCAGTTACTAATTAATGTTTACAGCTATTAATAAGACAACAGAGGAACTTCAGAGAACAGAGTGCAACTCTTTCTGTTTATACCGGACAGTGTTACTGGCTTGTAGAGTTATTGATAACACAGAACCACAGGATCTTGAATCCATCTGTTAGTAAAGATATGTGGTGGTTTGAAAAACCTTTTCTCTGGGGCAGTAATGGTTTGCCCCACTGATAATACTAGACCAATCAAAGGTTCATATGCGCCCTACGGAAATTACATACCCACAGCAACGGAAGAGAAGGTGGTGAAGTAGTTTTAGTAAGTAGGTTGGTAGCCATGATCTGAACCACGAGGAGGCAGGGGGCCAGTGAGCCCCTCTGGGGGCCAAGAGCCCCCAGCCCCAGCTGAGGCTACAAGAGACCCGGAGTAGTGTCAAAGCTGGACCGGGTCCCGTAATCAAGAGCTGGGAGAATTTCCTTACTGTCAGCAGTGGCAGAAAACGTTGAAAGCGGCAGCGGAGCAGTCCTGAACAGAAACAGCGATGGCTGAAAGCCAAAAAGATAGCCAGTAGTAACAAGATAACATGAAGCCGGCTGAAAGACGCAGAGATGTTCCTGCAGGAGGGAGAGCTGGCAACGAAACAGAGGAAAACTCAACAGAGCTGGTTTGGGGTAAGACTGTATTACTTTCCCAAAACCCAGAGACCTGTTGAAGAGGAGGGGTGGACTTCCAAACCTTTAGGGAGTCCTAAAATGCAGCAGCAGCTAGAGTGAGAGAAAGGAGCCGAGAAACCCGGAGTCATTCCTGAGAGCTGAGCCAGGATGGAACACGGGGGAGGTGGCCGGGCCCTCTGCTGCTTCTATCGTGCTAGCGAGCTGAGACAGAGTAAAAGAGCTTTGGTAAGACTGAACTGAAAGCTGCCTTCAATGTCCTACCCCAAGAGGAGTGAAGATCTACAAGGAAATCCCCCGAAGGCTCGGGCTCGGGGTTGGAATTTCCACAAAGTAAGAACCAAAATCCTGACTACCATACTTAAATCTGCTGCCTCAGGAAAAATGAAGGACACTAACCAGTGCCACAAAAAACTGAAACGAAGGAACTGTGGCCTGTGCAGTGACAGAAAGACTTTTCTCTTTCCTTCTTGGACTTTTATTGAAGGAAAAGAGGAATTTAATTCAATGTGAATATATATATATATATATATATATATATATAGGTGTGAGTAAATAAACCTTTGTAAATATTTTTTCCCTTCCCCCAATAACGAATGGTTGTGTTTTGTCTGAAAACTCTCCACATGAAGTGAAAAAGATATCAAGTCCATACCATCACTAAACCCTCTCACAGGGGCAGACTGTGGGAGGGGGGGCTTGAACTTAAAAATTGGATCCTTGAGAGTTTCAAACCACCATAGATACTAAGTAACAAAACCTGGGGGAGTAGTTTCTGGTAGAAGTACAGTATACATAACTGAATCACATTATGATGAGTTACTAATTGAGCCTATATTTGTGATATACAGTAAAATGTTGCATTGCTGTGGGCACTCCAATTTGGGACACTTATGCAATGAAATAAAATAGCTAAATTGTAGCATCTATTTAATAGTTTCAAAAATCATGGAAGAAATAATTGCAAACAAAAGTTGCTATATCCAATACGTTGTAAGTAATTATTGGACTTATTTTGTGGGAGCATGGTATAGGGATCAGATGTTATGTCCTGGATTGCTTTCAGTGGGAACTAACAGGGCACCTAAAATAGGTCGATTCAGAGCAGTTCATTTCTCCAAAGCTGTATGAGGAAGATATAGGCTAGTAGGAAATATGAACAGAAATTTTGGACTGTAACAGTTTATTAAGTAACCAAAAAACCACAGTTCCATAATTAGAGAGTAGCTCCTTATAAATATCTATTTCAACTTAATAGGAAAGTTAACAAAATATTAAGAAATAAAAAGGCAATATAAAGGAATTGGAAATGAATTATAGATAATAACCTGAAAATATGAGCAATAATAGACTATAAAGGATGGAGAAGAGACTAAAGAAATCAAGAGGATATCTGTGGGTAGCAAAACCCACAATAATAAAGAACAATAATAAACAGGCAGTATTTAAAAATGTGCTATTAATAAGGTAGCTATTACAGGGTGCATACAATCTATATTAGATAAAAAAAATCTGTAACTGTGTAAAAATAGAGGTCTTGCATGAATATTTCTTTTCTGTGTCTGGAATGAAGTAGGCTAATGTTATATACAGATATTACAATATCCCCAGTCTTTTAGTAGCCATTGGAAGATTTTAAACATTTTATTAAAAAAAAAAAAAATTAAATTGAGAATTTTTATAACTAACAAGTTTGCTGGTTAAGAAATTTTTCTCTTACTGGTCCTCCTTTTGAATAAGTATTCAAAGTTAGGGTATTATGTTACAACAATGCCTTGAGTCTAAAAGAAGGATAATATTGAGTCAATATTCAGAAAAGGCAGTATTTTAGGTTCATTAGTCTAACCTCATTTCTGGGTAAAATACTGAAAATCTGATATGAAATTCAATTATTACAATATTAAAGCATAAGATTATAGTTATACTTCTTATAATGCTTTTATGGAAACTAAGTTTCATTGAATAAATCTGATTTATTTTCTGGCAGGTGGTAAGAGTCAGTTGATAAAGGTTACTATTCATTTTAATATACTGTTTTTTAAGATGTCTGACCTACTATTGAGGTGTTCAGATAAAATATGTAC